GCTCTCCGGAGAGAGCCTGGGGAAGGCTTTACTCGCGGCTGGTCGTGCAAGATGGGCCGGTGTCAGGACAGGCATCGTCGGGCTGAAGAAATGCCCCTGAACAAATGGTCTGCAGGCACGGGCCCGCTGTGATGACTCCTAGGTAGCATCGGCTAGGGGCGGAGGTGGAGAAACATGACCGGGCCATTAGTCGACGAGGAAAAGAGAGCTGAAATGTCGAAGGGAGAGAGGTTTGCCATGCTGTTCACCAGGTGTTTACGTTGGGAGCCTACAGACGCATCAGGGATCAGGGTGCCGCAGAGTTCTGCTGCACGAGGCTGTGGCTGTGATGCTAAATGTGTGGTGCAAGTCTGCCAGGGTGCACTTGCCTTGTGTGCTGTGGGACGGCAACACCTTTTACTGCTCTTCCATGTGGGTGGAGATGAAGCCACAGCGCATCGTCCAAGTGTGATCAAAAGAGGTTTCAGGGCCTTGGCGTGGTTGGTTAGTGAATCTGGAGCACAGGTTATTTTTAACAGTGATGGGCAGGCTGAGTAGCTGCAGGAAGTATTTCAGGATGATGGATAGTGATCAGAATTGCTTTATGAGCTCAGTAGAAGGTGCAAGTCCTCTTGTTCTGCTGAATCATTTTATTTTCAGAAGAAAAGGTTATGCTTCTCAGCATTTTGAATGTGATGTGGGCTGTTGTGATTGGGCAGTAGATGGGTATCAAGCGTCTGAGAAACCCTGTCTAGTTAAGTGAAGCATTTACAAAGCCAGCCAGTTTTCAGCTCTCTTCCTATAATTACAGCCAGACTTGCAAAAAATTACTTTTCCCAGGAATATAGTATGACAATTGTCTAGACTTGGGAAATAACCAGTAAATTCTGTGTTTCTACAAGGATTAGGCAGGCCTTCTGCCACCCCCTCGTCTGGTCAGGGGTACTGCCAGGCCACTCTGGCAGGGGTGACCAAGGGAAAAGCACGTTGGGACCTCGGGGATGCCATGGGTCTCTTGCAGCATTCGTTGACCGTCTTGCCTCCTGTGTCACTCTTGATACGTGTTCATACTGAAAAGCGGTTTCCTGGTCATGATGGCTGTTTCAACTGCTGTCGCTGGAGAGGAACGTGGACAGAGGCTGGTGCCAGCGATGGAGAGCCGGGTCCTGCAGGACGCAATTGCAGCAGAGGACGGGCGCCAGGGAGGGACTGCCTGGGTGGAAGCTGCTCCCCCGGGACACTCTCCTCCCCGGGCGAGCGGCGCGGTCGGGGACCGCCAGTCGTTTTGCGTGAGCAGCAGGCGAAGGAAACCGCGCAGCCAGAATATGCCAGCGCCCTCTCCTGCCCCAGCTGCCACTGAAAAGCCAACGCAAAAGTGAAGGTGTGAACTTTTTCTTTCTTTTCTTTCTTTCTTTCTTTCT